CTCTGTTTTTGTACCAGTACCATACTCTTTTGGCTACTGTAGCCTTGTAGTATAGTTTGAAGGCAGGTACCATTATGTCTCCAGTTGTGTTCTTTTTGCTTAGCAAAAATTTTAAAATAGTTTTTTTTTCTAATCCTGTGAAGAATGTCAATGGTAGTTTAACTGAAATAGCATTGAATCTATAAATAACTTTGAGCAGTATGATCGTTTTCACAATATTGATTCTTCCTATCCATGAGAATCGAATGTTTTTTTCATTTCTTTGTGTCCTCTCTAACTTCCTTGAGCAGTAGTTTGTAGCTCCCCTTGAAGACATTCTTCACTTCCTTTTTTAGTTGTATTCCTAGGTATTTTATTCTCTTTGTAGCAATTGCAAATGGAAGTTCATTCATGATTTGACTCTCTGTCCATGTTGGTGTATAGGAATGCTAGCAATTTTTTCTCACTGATTTTGTATCCTGAGACTGCTGAAATTGCTTATTAGCTGAGGAAGCTTTTGAGCTGAGAGGATGGAGTTTTCTAGATATAGGATCATGTCATCTGCAAATAAAGATAATTTGACTTCTTCCCTCCCTATTTGAATATACCCTTTTTTTCTTTCTCTTGCCTGATTGCCCTGGCCAGAACTCCCAATACTATGTTGAACAGTAGTGATGAGAGAGGCCATCCTTGTCTTGTGCTGGTTTTCAAAGGGAATGCTTCCAGCTTTCGCCCATTCAGTATGATATTGGCTGTGAGTCTGTCATATATGGCTCTTATTATTTTGAGGCATGTTCCTTCAATACCTAGTTTGTTGAGATTTTTTAACATGAATGGATGTTGAATTTTATCAAAGGCCTCTTCAGCATCTATTGAGATAATCATGTGGTTCTTGTCTTTAGTTCTATTTATGTGATGAATTACATTTATTGATTTGCATATGTCGAACCAACCCTGCAGCCCAGGAATGAAGTCAACTTGATCACGGTGGATAATCTTTTTGATGGGCTGCCGCTGGATCCCATTACTGGGTATATACCCAAAGGAATATAAATCATTCTATTATAAAGATATATGCACACTTACGTTCATTGTAGCACTATTCCCAATGGCAAAAACATGGAATCAACCCAAATGCCCATCAATGATAGATTCAGTAATGAAAATATGGTCATATACATCATGGAATGCTATGCAATCATAAGAAGGAAGGAGGTCATGTCCTTTGTAGGGACATGGATGGTGCTAGAAGCCATTAACCTCAGTGAACTAACACAGAAACAGAAAACCAAACACTGCATGTTCTCCCTTATAAGTAGGAGCTGAACAAGGAGAACATATGGACACACTGAGGGGAACAACACGCACTGCATGAAAAATGTCATGGGTGGGGTGGGAGAGCATCAGGAAGAATAGCTAATGGATCTTGGACTTAATACCTAGGGGATGGGTTGATCTGTGCAGCAAACCACCATGGCACATGTTTACCTCTAAAACAAACCTACAGGCCAGGCATGGTGGCTCATGTCTCTAATCCCAGCATTTTGGGAGGCCGGGGTGGGCAGATCACGAGGTCAGGAGATTGAGACCATCCTGGCCAACATGGTGAAACCCCGTCTGTACTAAAAATACAAAAAATTAGCCGGGCATGGTGGCACACACCCGTGGTACTCAGGATGCTGAGGCAGGAGAACTGCTTGAACCCAGGAAGCAGAGTTGCAGTGAGCCGAGATCACGCCACTGCACTCCAGCCTGGCTAGAGAGCGAGACTCCATCTCAAAAAACAAAACACAAAAACCTACAAACCTGCACATGTAACCCAGAACTTAAAAGCTGAAAAAAAAAATTCAATAGAGAGCATCAACAGCAAAACTCATCAAACCCATCTAGGAAGTAAAAGATTACTTTTTTAAGCTTTTTTTTTTTTATTACCGAGGAGAAAAAAAGAATAAAGAGAAATAAAGCTTATAGGATTTATGAAACATACATAACATGTAATATTATATAATAGAAAACCCACAAATAAATCCACACATACACAGTCAACTAATCTTCTACAAAGGTGCAAGAATATGCAGTGAGGGAAGGATAGTCTCTTCAATAAATGATGTAACTTGCATAATAAATGGGAAATCTGAATATCCTCATACAGAAGAATGAGACAGAAACTGAAATAGAATATAGAAACCAGAAAAAAAACCACAAAGATTTTGACCTCTACCTTATACCATACAAAATCAATTTCAGATGGCTCAAAATGTAAACAGAACAATAAAGCATTTAGAATATAACATAGAAGTATGTCTTATATTAACTTTGGATAGGAAAAAAACTTTTTAACAGGACACACTAAAGATTACCTAGAAAAATAACATTAATAAATTAGATTACATTAAAATTTGAAACTTATCATCAACAGACATCTTCAAATGAATGACAGAAGATAATTTGAATATATATTCCTGGAAAAAGACTCACATCAAGATTTTTGCAATGGTAAATGAGCATTAAACAGCACTCAACTTAATTAAAAGTGGATATCCAAGTTATAGGTATATTTAAAAAGGCCTTTATGTTTTTCTTTTCTTGGATCTTGTTTTGCTGGAAAAAGGTTTTGTTCTCAGTTGCCTGAATTATTTTTCTCTATTTTGTCTTGCCACTCAATACACACATGAGAGGCCTTAAGATAACTCCTGGGGTCCCTGGACTCCTTGGGAAAAACAGTGAAGGCACCACTCACCCTGTTTTGGGAAGAAATCAGTTCTCGTCATGGAACCCCAGGAATTAAAAGTGGATGAATCTCTCTCAAAATCTGTTTTTGCCTCCCAATCATGCCTGTTTATTAGACTCTAGAAGCTGCATGTTTTCCTATATAAAGAAATCCTACTAAGTATTAAGAAATAGACTAATATAAAATTGGGTATAAAATGTGAATAGGTACTTCTTAAATGAGGATCACCAAGTATCCAATAGGCATATAAGAATGTGCTCAACATTATTACCATTAAAGGAAATGAAAAACCCTGAATACAACTCTACTACAAATATGCTAAAATATAAAATTACAAAAACTAAAAACGTCAGGTATTAGCGATATGTGCAAGTCTCATATTGTGTATGAGGGAAGCATAAATTGATATTTTTAGGAAGCTGTTTAGCAGAATCAACTATAGCCAATTAAAAGTATGCCCTATGACTCAGCAATTACATTCCTAGGTATATATTTCTAGGTATAACAGAAATTAGTCCATATCTGAACAAAAAAAAGTTTAGAATGTTTCTAGTAACTTTATTCAAAAATAGCCCTCTATACAAATGATCTCACCTTTAACTTCAAAAATCACCTCTATATACCAACAAGAACTAGGAAAAGCATCTTTTCTCAAGCCTCCAATTCCTCCAGAAACATTTTTCCCTTTTTTACTTGAGGTGCTAATCTCCCTAACTTTGTATAGCTCCACATATGGTCAGGAAAGAATTCAAAAAGATGTACTCCAAAATAACGTTCAATATTCAGTTACACAGAGAAATGGCAAACAGCTCACTCTGCTGAAAGGTATGATCAGGGCAAGGTGTGGTGGCTCATGTCTGAAATTCCAGCACTTTGGGAGGCCGAGGCAGGCGGATCACAAGGTCAGGAGTTCAAGACCAGCCTGACCAACATGGTGAAACCCTGTCTCTACTAAAAATACAAAAATTAGCCAAGTATGGTGGCATGTGCCTGTAATCCCAGCTACTCAGGAGGCTGAGGCAGGAGAATCGGTTGAAACCGGGAGGCAGAGGTTGTAGTGAGCTGAGATCATGCCACTGCACTCTAGCCTGGGTGACAGAGTGAGACTTCGTCTCAAAAAAAAAAAAAAAAAAAAAGGATTTTCAGTTCTGATACACCAAGCACTTTGTGACACATTTTTTAAGTTTAAATTGCGTATAATATAGAGGGTCTATAAATAATATCAACTAATATCAACTGACAAAGATACTAATAATTCATAAAATCATCATGCTATGATAGGTGTTTTTTCTCTTTCATAAACTTCCTGATATATAAAATGCATGTACATAATAATTATAGATCATATCACATATTACACGTTTTATTTTCAGGCTATGGAAAGGTATTTTATCTATATTCAGCAACTTGAATTAAGCACAGAGTCTCACTGGGCATAAAATACTATCTCTGAAGAGTTTTCATAGGAAGCTGAAAAAGTCTGCAGTGACTGTACACTTTGGTTTTGGTTTTTGGGTTTGTTGTTGTTGTTGTCACTTGTTTACTTGTGTTTTGACTGTTTGCCTGACATTTGGCAGGTCATCACCAGGCACAGGATTAAGGGCACATTGAAATCTGTGGTCTCTGTATTTTATAATTTACTTTACCCCAAAATGCACACCTTAACTATACAGAAAAACAACGTAAAGAATAGGGAAGATCAATATTTTGCTCAAACAGGCAACTACCAAATAAAAGGGAGAGTTAAGGACCAGGGCCCAGGTTTATTGATTGGTACCCTTCCCTCTAGACCTTGTGCGGATTAAAAGTAAAAAGACTTGTTAATACTAACCTATTACAGAAGTGATGAAGAGGACATTTGCTTGATAACGTCTCTGTGGAGGCATCCAGAGAATCGGCCTGCGGCTGGAGTCAGGCGCAGCGAGTATGACGCTAACATGGACAGGAAAGCATTTGTCTGTGTCAGATCCCACCCCACGCCTCATCTCTCACTGCAGTCCTGAGGGAGAGCAGGCTCAGAACAGTTTCCAGGCCCCCAGGGTGCCTGTGTCGGCACAGGTCTCCACGTGGAGTCCCCTGGCGGCCGCTCTAGACCGTAACCGCTGCGTTGGAATCTCGCGAGAAGAGATGAGGGTCACCACCCAGGAAACATCTCCGACTAGGGAGGTGCTGCCTCCGCAACTCTGAAGCCGGAAGATCCATAACTAAGGGCACCAGCTGCAGGATCACACCCCTCTGGCCTTGTGATCAAGTCAGTGTAGGACATGGTCTGCTGTGGACCATAAGTTCCTCTTGTTCGAGTTTCAGTTTTGTAAGTTTCTTTTTTTTGCTCCCCAATACAGTGCTACAGGAGGGAGGGTGTTTTTTGTTTTGTTTTGTTTTGTTTTGTTTTGTTTTGTTTTTGGCGCTGAGGAAACAGACTTTGAAAGAGTAAATGATGTGAACAAGGTCACGTAAGGTAAGATTTGAACTCACGACCGGTAAGATACGAACTCAAGTTTGACTCTTTCCACTATAGCTTTCAATTTCAAGCTTAATGGGCCATCTCAAAGGCAATTTAAGCCTTGAGAGTTCATGGTTTATATAAGTGAAAGGAAACGTTTATAAACGAAAAATGTAAAGACAAGATCTTAGACTTTGACAGTCTTCCCTTGGAGATTGGGGAGACTGTCAAAACCACATGAGAAAATGTACAAGACAAAGCAATTAAAAAAAATGTTGCAAGAAACAAAAGCTATCTCTTATTAGTTTTAGCAAAATTAAGATATATTTGTTATAATATATGAACAGGTATTTTACATAATGTAAGGACCAGAAATCAGCCAGGTTTCTGAAAGAAATTGGAACTAGAAAATGGAAAGCCATCATAATCTTGGGAAGTTCTGTTCTTCCATCTCTGCTTTTCTGTGGGTGTCTTCTCTGTCCTCTCACTCTCAAAACTTACTTTCTCTACAATTTTGTCCATTAGAGAAGAGCATGGCAATGCCACTGCTACTAAATTTTTACATCTTCTCAACAAGAGACCAGCCTGAACAATCTTGGAAAGAGAATATCATGAACTCACCTTGCTTTAGATGTTTACCTTTGACCCAATCAGCTAGGATGAAATAATAATTATGGATACTAAATATGGATGCTAGGGAGAATAACACAGGTTATATACAATCTAATGATAGCTATCTGTGAGTTGTAATTTTCTTATCTATTGAACACCCTCTCTATATTTTTATTGGTTCCTAACTTATGAAGCCCACCTTTCAATAATATAACTTATCACTCTATTTTCCAGCCTCCCCTGCATCTGGTGGAGGTATATGACATGGGTTCTTCCAGTCAGGTACCCCTGAACCAGGCTTTAATTTAGAGGGAAACAATAAGTAAGAGAATAAACCATGGCAACCAAAAGCCCAATGTTTCTGACCCTGTAAGATGTGGGGATATGGGTAATTTCTAGAGGGATTGATGTTATTGGGACAGTCAACATATTCTATTTACTAAAGCCTAATTTAAGGTTTGTAAGTGAACGAACAATGTGAGAGGTAACTAATGGATTTCTCAAGATGGTAATCTTGGTGGTTTCATGCAAAAAGCTCTCAGGGAACAACAAAGTCATGAAAAATAGGCAGCTGTAGGTTGGATTTCCCTCTAAAGTTTAAGTTTCTTACCCCCAAAAAAATTAACATTAATTTGTTTTCATATTTTCCTACAGAAAAGGAACACATTTATTCTTTCATTTCTCTATTGTATCTTAGTGAAAAATGCCACGAACTCGTCTGTGGATAAGAGAGGAAACAAGAATGTTGGGGGTAAGAACTAAATGCCACTTGAGTGAATAAATGATTATAGTGTTGCGATTTCTAAATATAAATGGGAAGAGACTGTAACCACCTCTATTATGAACTCCTCAAATGGAGGAATGTTAATAGAAGTGTCCTGAAATTGTTATGTAGCATCTGCATTTTTCCACATTCAGCCTCGACACATAAGCTATTTATCAGGCTCACATTAAATAAAGCAGAAATTATGAATTTATCAGCAACATGTAAATGACCCAACAACGTCTAAACCCACTCATGCTCTCAGAAAACCCTGACTCTGGAAATGGGTAAAGAAATCTCTTTTTGGCATCTATAAATTATTTCAAGCTAAGCTGATGACATGGTTCTAAATGAGATGATCAAATTGTGGAAACTACATTCAGGAGAAGCTGCAGACCATAAAGCTTTATGGACAGTGGTCACAATAGCACTGTGCTTTCAAGATTACCCCCAAAACACATGACTCTTTTTCCAGTCAACTTCATCAAATATGGCAGGTATTCACCCACATTGCTGGATGATTTTGCATTATCCACTCATTTTTGGATGATGGAACCAGATTAGGATTAAACAAGCAGGATTAAAGTTTGGTTCAGGAAAATTCCCAACATCACCAGTATATTATTACTCCCACTTATTTAAGATCTGCCTGATCCTTTGCCAGAATTATACTAAGAGCCTTACGTAAAACAAGCAATGAACCCAATATTTTCTCTCCTCATTTTCAAGGTATGATATTAAAGATGTGGATTCCTAACCCCCTTATCCATTTATCTGGTCTTGATATTGGGAAATAATTAGTTGAAATATATTTGAGAATAAATAAATTTGTTATTGTCTATATTACTGTCTTTCTAATGAGATCTACTGTTATCTTAAGAAGACACAGAGCTTTGGTTTTATTTCATGCTTTAAGACATACCAACAGCCATTTCTCCCTATTCTTACCACTAACTATATCTAAAACTTTGGATAAATAAAAGAAGATCCTGAGAAGTACAGATAAGGAAGAATAAGATTTAGGGAGCTTTGAACCCAGAGAATGATATGTTAGTGAGTTTCCTGGGTTTTCTTTTTTATTTCATATACCTCAAACTGGGTCCCCAGTTGAGATATACCTACTAATGTTTTGAAGCCTGCAAAAAACATAAAATACCTAGGAATAAATTTAACCAAGGTGAAAGGAAAACTATAAGTAAAACTACAGAAGACTGATAAAAGAAATTGAAGAGGGCACAAACAAACAGAAAGACATCCCATGCTCATGGATTGGAAAAATGACGATACTAATCAAAGAAATCTACAATTTCAATGTATTCCAAATCCAAATACCAACGTCATTTTTTATAGAAATAGAAAAAAGAATCCTAAAATTTGTATGGAATCAAAAAAGTTTTCAAATAGCCAAAGCAATTCAAAATACCTAGGAGAGAGGAACTTGAAACATTTGCAACATATAGAAATATCCTAAATACCCTGGCTTGATCATTACACATTCAATAAATGTAGCAAAATATTACATGTACCCCACAAATATGTACAAATATTATATCACTAAAAAATAAAATAAATTTTAAAAATAAAAATTTGATTGATGTAACTAAGCAAGAAAAACAAATATATTAAAGAACTCAACACCACCATCAACCAGTAAAATGTAATTAATATTTATAGAATATCTAACATCAGAACATATACTCTTTTTTTTCTTTTTTTTTTTCTTTTTATTTTTTTACTTTTAGGTTCAGGGGTATATGGGTGGGTTTGTTATATAGTAAATTGTTATTATCGGGCTTATTGTACAGATTATTTAATCACCCAAGTCATAAGCATAGTACCTCATGGGTAGTTTTTCAATCCTCACCCAGTTCCAAACTTCTACCCTCAAGCAGGTCCTGATGTCTGTTGTTACCTTCTTTGTGTTCATGTGTGCTGGACATTTAGCTCCCACTTATAAGTCAGAACATGCAGTATTTAGTTTTCTGTTCATGTGTTAGTTTGCTTAGGATAATGGCCTCCAGCTCTATTCATGTTGCAGCAAAGGACATGATTTCATTCTTCTTTATGGCTTAGTGTATATGTACCACATTTTCTTTATCTAGTCTACCGTTGATGAGCATTTAGGTTGATTCCATGTCTTTGCTCTTAAGAATACACATTCTTTTTAAGTGTCCATGGACCATTAACCAAATAAACTATATTTTGGGTCATAAAACAAACTTTGAAATATTTAAAAGAATTGAAATCATATGGAATGTGTTCTTTCACCAAAATAGAATCATACTAGAAACCAAGTAAGAGAAAGATAACAAAAAAGCTCCAAACTTGAAAATTAAGACACTTCTAAATGATTAATGCTTTAAAGAGGACATTTCAATGAAAAATTTATAAAATTCAGTTAAATTATAATGAAAATACATGATATCAAAATGTATAACACTAAATGCTTACAGAAAACAAGAAAATTGTCAAATAAATACTCTAAACTCTCACCTAAAAAAAAAAAAAAACTAGAAAAAAGAAGACCAAAATAAACCCAAAGAAATCAGGAGAAAATAATAAAGATAAGAAAATAAATCAATAAAATTAAAATTTAAAAAGTAGAGAAAATCAGTACAACAAATAGTTGATTCTTATAAAAGATCATCAAAATCAACAAACATCTAGCAAGACTAATCAAGAAAAAGAAGACAAAAATTATCAAACTCAGAAATAAAATAGAGTATATTACTACAGATAATTTACATCTCAAAATAATATTAAGAGACTGCTATCAGTAACTATAGACACAAATTTAACAATTTTGATAAAATGAACAAATTTTCCCAAAAAGCACAAACTACAGCTCAATATGAAATAGATCATTTTAATGGCCCTATAATTGTTAGAAAAATTAAATTTGTAATTTCAAAACTCCTGAAAAGGAAATCTCCAGGCCAGGCCTGATTTCACTGAAGAATTCTACCAGATGTTCTTAGAATATTCAACACCAGTTATTTTCAATATATTTCAAAAAAACAGAAGAGAATGAAACATTTCCCAACTTATTTGAAGAGGCCAATATTATTCTGATAACAAAAACAAATAAAGATAGTACAAAAGAAGAAAACTATAGATCCATATCCTTCAGAATATAGACCCAAAAATCATTTATGAAGTATTAGCAAATATAATTCAACAATATTTAAAAATACTTTTCCACCATGACTAAGTGAAGCTTATTCCAGATATACAAAGCTGGTTTAGTACTCAAAAAGCAATCGATGTAACCCATCATATTAATAGGCTAAAGAGGAAAAATCACATGATCATGTCAGTTGATGCAAAATAAACCACATTTGACAAAATTTAACACCTGTTCATGATATTTTAGAAAGCTCTTAGAATAATAGAAATGTAAGGGAACTTCCACAACCTGATAAAGAACACCCACAAAAAAACTTACAGCTAACATTATATTTCATGTTTAAAAATTGAATTATTTTCACCTAAGATTGGTAACAGTGCAAAGATATCATGTCTCACCATGCTTACTAGCACAGTACTAGAAGTCTTAGCACAGATCAATAAGATAAAAAAGAAAATTAAAAAGCATACAGATTGTAAAGGAAAAAATGAAAATATCCCTGTTTGCAGATGACATGATGATCTATGTAGAAAATCCCATGCAATTAAAAAAAAAAAGACTCCTGGAACTAATAAGTGAGTTCAGTAAGGTCACAGGATACAAGATTAATGATCAACATACAAAATTGATTATATTTTTATATAATAGCAATGAACATATGGACAACAAAATTTAAAACACAATACTATTTAATATCAACCAAACAAATACTTAGGTATAAAGTTAGCAAAATATGTACAGGACTCATATTTTGAAAATTATCTAATACTAATAGAGGCTGAGGCGGGTGGATCACCTGAGGTCAGGAGTTCAAGACAAACGTGACCAACATGGTAAAACCCCGTCTCTACTAAAAATACAAAAATTAGCCGGGTGCCGTGGCACATGCCTGTAATCCCAGCTATTCAGGAGGCTGAGGCAGGAGGATTGCTTGAACCTGGGAGGCAAAGGTTGCAGTGAGCTGAGATCATGCCACTGAATTCCAACCTGGTTGACAAGAGCAAAACTTCATCTCCAAAAAATAAATAAATAAAATAAAATAAAAGAATTCCAAGTAGGTTACGTAAATGAAAAGACATTTATTGTTGTGACTGAAAATCTCAACATAGTAAAAATATTAATTGTCCCAAAATTGACAGATAGATTTAGCACAATTCCTATCAAAATCCTGGAAATATTTTTTGTAGATTTAAATAAGATTATCAAAAATTTCTATGGAAAGGTTGAGAAGCTAGAATAGCTAAAACTTTTTAAAGAAGAATAAAGTGAAAGGAATCATACTACTTGATTTTAAGACATGTAACTACAGATATTAAGACTGTGTGGTATAGGTGTAGTAACAGATACACAGATAAATGGAACAGAACACACTATCCATGAGTAGACTCATACAGTTATGGTTGACTGACTTTTTATAAAAGTAATTCAATGGAGGAAGTATAGTCATCTCTAAAAATTGTGTTGGACTAACAGGATAACCACTGGCAAAAAATAAAAGAACCTCAAACTAAAGTCTCTTACCTTATACAAAAATTAACTCAAAATGAATACTATATTTAAATATAAAATATAAAACTATAACACTTTTAGAAGAAGGCATAGGAGAAAATATTTAGTACCTAGGACTCTAGAGCTCTTTAACATGACCTTAAAAACATGATCCATCCATAAAAGACACAAATCAATAAATTTTACTTCACCAAAATTAAGTTTTGTTTTGTGAAATACCCTTGTTAGGAAGATGAAATGACAAGCTACAGAGTAGGAGAAAATGCTTGCTAACCACATCTCTGACAAAGGATTTATATCTAAGAATATCCTTCTTAAAACCTTAAGACTCAACCACAGAAAAAACACAAATGATCCAACTTTAAAACCAGCAAAAGACATGAAAAGACATTTCACTGAAAAAGATATACAGATAGCATAAGCATATAGAAATATGCTCAACATCATTAGCCATGAGAGAAATGCAAATTAAGACCATAATGAGAGATCACTACAAACCTATTAGAACAACTAAAATAAGAAATTGTGACAATACCAAATGCTGGAGATGATGCAGGGAAACTGGATCTCTCTTACATTGCCAGTGAGAATATGAAAATGATATAATCACTCTCAAAAATAGTTTGACATCTTAGTTAAGTACTAAACATACACTTACCATTAAATTTAGCAAGTGAGCTCCAGGGTATTTATCTTAGACAACTGAAAACTGATGTCTGCAGAATTTACATATGACTGTTCATAGCATCTTTATTTGTAATAGCTCCCCAACTGGAAACTGTCAAAATACCCCCTCAAGAGGTGATTAAACTCTAGTTGTTCATATCATAGACTACTACTCAGAAATTAAAAAGGAGTGAACTACATTGTTACACATAACAACTTGATGAATCTCAAAGGTATTTTGCTGGACAACAACAAAAAAGCCAATCACAAAAGGAACATACTGAATTATTCCATTTATTTGACACTATCAAAATGATAATACTGAGGATATGAAAAACAAATTAGTGACTACCAGAAGTTTAGCATTGTTGAGACAATAAAGATACAGCACGAGGGATATCCTCATGGTGATAGAATAGTTCTGTATCCTGATTATGGTTGTGATTATGCAAATATGCTTATGTGCTAAAATGACACATAACTATACACACACACTGTATCGAGGTTAATTTCCTAATTTTGATATTGTCATATAGTTATGTAAGATATAATCATTCTGAGAATCTGGACTCAGGACACAAGGACCTGTCCATAGTTTTGAAAATTCCTACAAATTTATAATTACTTAAAAATAAAGGGTTTTTTTTAATTCCACATCCTTCACTAAACTCAGACTTCAAAGAAAGTCATTGTGTTCCATGCCAAGCAAGGAGATGAAATGTGCACAGCATGTCAGTCAGTGGGAAAAGTCCTGTCCATTCCAATTTCCCCTTGTTTCCTGCCACAGCCTGCCTGAAGTACCTCTAAATGCGTAGTTTTGTGTTGCCTAGGCGTTAATCTGCAAGTGAAAATAGTATTTTCATTAATTAGCCACTTCTTGGCTCTCCCCAGAATCACACACCAGAACAGAAGCTCATTGCAAACTTCAAGTAGAGGTGTCCATGTTTTAAGAAAATCTGTAAGAAAAATATGTCAGGAATCCCCAGACATTGTGAAACTATGGTGGCAGTATGGCAAAAGATGCTAAGTTATGAACTCCAATTCTGCTCCTTCAGCTTTTTGAAACTTAACCCCTGTCCTTACCTGGGGGTGTAGGTAGGGAGAGTCAGAATGTTGGTTCATTCAGCCGTGGCAGAAAAAAAGCACCCCTGAGAAATATCTACCTGAAAACCAACTGAAAGGCCCTACAGTGATATGTTAGAGGGCTCTTCATACAACTTAGAATTGTCCTCCTACGGCTGAGAAACTGTCATAGCTGACCTATAACTTCAGTGGGTACGAATTATCTGAGACCTCCACATCAGGAAATAGCCCCTTGGAAGAGTGATAGAAAACCAAGGATCCCAAAGGCTCACTATCCTTTCAAAAGGACCCTCTTGTGAAGGACTCAAGACTATCAGTTATAGATGTTTTGGAGGTGGGAAGAACAAAAGGAACCAAAGTTCAAAACCTAGCTTTGGTAAGATAAGAGGAATCTAGGGAAGGTCAGAAATACCAAGTCTAGTTGCCTGTAGAACATAAGAGTTGTATATGCAGGATAATATTGTTGACCTGGGTCAAGAATTCTTGACCATACAGGTCAAGGATTGTTGACCACACAGGGACTGATGACTCTCAAAAGAGATCAATTCTTCTGGACTCCAAGACTAATGCTATGTAATCTCCTGAACCGATCAGATAAACAGACTCCTAGAATAATTTTATTGGATATGTACATAGTCATTATATCTACAAACTGCTCTGAAATAATAAAGTCTCCTTATCTGATTTGAATGTTGAGAAATTTAAAATTCTGTTAGGTCATCACCTTCCATCTTCACCTTGGCTTTTTCTTGATGTATATTCCTTTCAAAGGTTGAACTAAAATAATAATTAATGATAGTATTATTTTCTTCCAGGCCATACAAATAATTACTGGTATACTTCTTGATTGCCTGGGACTGCTCTGGATGTATTTGTTTTTCACACAAATTTTTGCATTTGGAGCCACATATACTCCTATTGCATTACTAACAGCATACCCATTTTGGTCATCCTGGCTTGTGAGTAAATAATCAAATTTCTGATTGTTATTCATTACATTTAAAGACTGTGTATCAGTCAAGCAGTACGTCAGAGACTGAAACTAAAAATGCACAATTTCTATTCTCAAGGAACTCATTTTATCTAGTTGAAAATAATATACCAATATGAAAAAACTTAGATTCTTATCAATGATATTCTTTAATAATAAGAGTCTTTTGTTAAAAGGCTACCTTTTACATTCTTCTAGGATATGAAGAAAAATGATAAGATGCACAAGGGGCATTTTGGGAAAACAGAAAATTGTTGGTGACTATTCAACTGCCCATATGGTATTTATTTTGCCAGTGGGGCAAATAAAAAATGAGAGAGCATAACTGCTGAGGAAATAGTGGGATATATACAATTTGTGTAGGGAAAGAAACATAAAATCTTTGTGTTGTATTCAAGAAGTATTTGGTAAAATTGAACAGAGATTTTAAAATTGAATTTTATTGTGTCTGATAGTATGATGAGTGATGTGCCATTGTCTTTAAAGGGGATATCATGAAGAAGGATATTATGGTGGTTGATGTGCCATGTTTCCCACAAAATCCTGAGTGAAGCTTATTATAATATCACATTTGGAGTTTGATCACTCAACCGGTACTTATTGAGTACCATGATGTGTCAGGCACTGTTTTAGGTGCCTGAGATACATTAGCAAACAAAACAAAGATCCAAGTTCTTATGGAGCTTTTATTTTAGCATGGCATAGTATATTAGAAGATGATAAGGCTATAGAAGCAAAAAGAAAAAGAGTAGGCTAAGGGGGACTGGAATTTTTGGGAAAGTGGCAAAGGGATATAGGTTATCACCTAAAATTGGGTGGTTGAGGTAGGGCTCATTGAAAAAGTGACTCTATTACTCGTCTATTGTTATGTAATAAACCACCAAAAACCCAGTGGCATACAATTACAAGCATTTATTTTTTACTCATGCAGACTTGGCAGAGATTCAGCTGCTCTTGGCCTGGTTTCAAGCTACAGGACAGGTCCAGATCCACTGCATATGTATCTTATTGCTTTTAGACTAGGGGCTACTAGAGTCATATTCTTCTCACAATGAAAAGTGAGAACACAAGAGGACAATCCTAATCACACAAGACCATTTCAAGCTTTGGCTTGGGTCATGTTTGTTAAAATCCCAGCTAAAACAAATAAAATGATCAAGTCCTAAATTAAAGAGCAGGGAAGCATAATCCAAGCACCATGAGATCATGGCAAGAGTATGAAAATATATTATTATTACCTAAAAGTAAAAAATTGTGACCAACAGTTCAAACTACCATAGTGACATTTGAGCAAGGACTTTAAAAAGTGATGGTTTTGACCACAAAGATATGTTGGGAGAGAACATTTTGGGGAGAAAAGAGTCAGAATGAAGTCTTCGATGAAGAGTTCCTAGAAAAATGTAGTCAGTATTTCTGGAACATTTCTGGAACAGAGTGAGTAACCACAATAGTAGTAGAAAACAAGCTAGAAAAAATAATGAGGTGCATGACAATATAGGGCTATGTAAGCCATTGTAAACATTTTAGCTTTTACTGTAAGTGAATTGGAGTTATTATAGTGTTTCATAAACAGAAGTTAAATAATCTGGTTTAGGTTTTAAGAGAATCACTTTGGTTTCTGTGTTGAAAAGAGAATGAAGGGGTCCAAATAGACTTTTTAGAAAGCTACTTCAAAAGTCCAGGTGAGACTCAAAGTTGTTAGTAGTGAAGGTGGTGAAAGTAATATAGATATATGTTGAGGTAGAGCCAACTTAATATCTTGATGGATTGGGTATGGAGTGTGAAAGAAGTTAAAGATAATGCCAGGGTTTTTGTTCAAGCTAATAGAAGGAATGACTTGACATCAAGTGATACAGGTGAGACTGTACAGAACTGGTTTTCAGAGGAAGATGATGAGTTTGCTTTGACAATATTGAGTTTGAAATATTTATTTAATATTCAACTGGAGATGTCAAGTAACGTGTTGGATATGGAATGTAGAGTTCAGAAGACAGAATTAGAATAAAAGATACAGAATTGCAGAAAGGACAAGAATTCACCAACCAAGTATCTGCTGCCTTCAAGAGACTCACCTAACACACAAGGAATCACATAAACTTAAGGGAAAGGGGTAGAAAAAGATATTCCATGCAAATGGACACCAAAAGCTAGCAGGAGTAACTATCCCTGTATGAGACAAAACAAACTTTAAAGGAACAGCAGTTAAAAAAGACAAACAGAGACTTTATTTAATAATAAAAGGCCTTGTCCAACAAGAAAATATCACAGTCCTAAATATATATGCACCTAACACTGGAGCTCCCAAATTTATAAAACAATTACTACTAGACCTAAGAAATGAGATCGCAACACAATAATAGGGGGGACTTCAGTACTCCACTGGCAGCACTGGACAGTTCATCAAGACAGAAAATCGACAAAGAAATACGGATTTAAACTATACCCTGGAACAAATTGACTTAACAGATATTTACAAAACAATTCTACCTGACAACTGCAGAATATACATTATATTCATCAGCACATGGAACTTTCTCCAAGATAGACCAAGTGATAGGCCACAAAACAAGTCTCAATAAATTTAGGAAAATTGAAATAATATCAAGTACTCTCTCCGACCACAGTGGAATAAAATTGGAAATCAACTCCAAAAGGGACCTTTAAAACCAAGCAAATACATGGAAATTAAATAACCTGCTCCTGAATGATCATTGGGTCAACAATGAAATCACAATGGAAATTACAAAATTATTTGAACTCAATAATAGTGACACAACCTATCAAAACCTCTGGGATACAGCAAAGGCAGTACTAAGAAAAAGTTTACATGCCTACATCAAAAAGTCTGAAAGAGCACAAATAGACAATCTAAGGTCACACCTCAAAGAACTAGAGAAACAAGAACAAACCAAACACAAACCCAACAGAAGAAAAGAAATAACAAAGATTAAAGCAGAACTAAATGAAATTGGGGGGGAAAGGCAATACAAAAGATAAATGAAACAAAAAGCTGGCTCTTTGAATAAGTAAATACACTTGATAGAACATTAGCAAGAGTAACCAAGAAAAGAGAGACAATCCAAATAAGCTCAATTAGAAATGAAATGGGAGATATTACAACTGAAACCACAGAAATACAAAAGATAACTCAAGGCTACTATCAACATCTTGTGTACATAAATTAGAAAACCTAGAGGAGATGGAAAAATTTCTGGAAATTTACTACCCTCCTAGATTAAACCAGGAAGATA